TGCCTTTATTACCATGACACCCTTATCTCTCGGTTTTCTTTAAACATCCCTCACCAGTTTTTCTTAGTCATTATTTCTTATTCTCTTTTCTTACATGTCCACACTCCCCAGGGCTCTGACCATTTTTCCTCTTCTGTTCTCATGCTACACCATCTTTCTAGGTGATTTACTATACACCTATTACTTTAAATGACACCATCGTGCAGCAGATCTCCATTTCTGGTGTGCTGCTGAGACCCACACCTGTGTACCCAGCTGCCTGTCGGCCACTTCCTCCTGGATGTGCATGTCATCTCAACCTTGGCATTTCTAAAACCAGCTCCTCACCTTCACCCAAACCTGCTCGGCCTGCTGCATTTCCTTCTCAGTCAGAGGCACTAACAACCACTTGGCCATTGAGTCAGGAGCCATCTGGTTCCCTCCTGTTCCCCTTCCCCCTACTCAGTCAGCCTCCAAGTCCTACCAACTCTGCATCTGCATCTGAATTTTTTCTCCATCACCCCCTACTTCCCGAGTGACGACATGAAGTTCCCAGGTCACCCACTGTCCCTGTGGTTGTCCCTCTCCATTTCTTTTTCCACCCAAAGTGACCCCTTTACAAATTCAAATTCAAACCTTCACACATTCAGTGAATGTTTCTTGGGTGTCTCTTAGGCTCTAAGCATGACACTTATGTCCTAAGTGTTAGCAATATAGAAATGAATGATACAAATAGACTCTTTCTTCCTGATGGAATTTATCTTCTAGCTGGGGAGGTAGGGGTGGGGGAGAACAGACAGCAAGCAAGTGAACAAGTAATTCTATGTCAGGTGATGGTAAGTTCTAAGAAGGAGAATAAAGAAGGATAAGAGGATAAGAAGTGACCATGAAGCAGTGCTGTTGTGGAAGGGCTTGGAAAAGATGTCTTTCCAAAGGTGACATTTGAGCAAAGATAAAGGAAGTGAGAGGGTGAGCCTTGTGGGTATCCGGGGGCTGGGGGAAGAGCATTCCAGATGGAGGGAACCGTGTGCTTTCTGTGTTTGAGGAGCAAAGAGGCCAACATAGCTGGAGAGGAGGATGGACAGAATGAGGGTAGAGAAGTGGTGGGGAGGGCAGAGGACAAAGGATCTTGTAGACCATTTTGAGGACTTTGGCTTCGACAGTGAGTGAGGTGGAAGCCATCTGAAGGGGGAACAGAGGCTGGCAGGATCCAACCTTCACCTTAGATAGGTCACTCAGGCTGCTGCTGCAGAATAGTCTGCAGGAAGATCAGTTAGAAGGCAGGTGCAAGAATTCAGGTCACACGGGATGGCAGCTGGACCTGGGCCACAGCAGTGGAGTGGTGAGAAGGGTCAGATTTGAGGGATGTGTTTTGAAGGAGAGTTGATGAGGAATTTGTGAACAGATTGGATATGGAGTACAAAGAGAGAGGAGTCAAGACTGATTCCAAGGACTTGTGGCTGGACAGCTGGAACTGTGGAGTTGCCACTCTCTTATATGAAGAAGACAGAGGAAGGTTTGGCCAGTGGGCAGGGAGAGTATGGTTTGGACAGGTTAGGCTTTGGAGACCTTAAACTCAAATGGGGATGAACTTGGATACTCAGGGGAGGAATCGAGGCTAGAAATGCGCCCGGCTGCTGAAAGTCCCTGAATGGCCCCCCTTTACCCTAAGGTCAGCATTTACCCTGAGAGAGTGGGGTAGAAGAAAGGGCTATCCCAGCAAGAGAGAGGGAGGGAGTTGGAAGTCAGAGGATCAAGTAAAGCCACTAGGAAGCAAAATCCAGCACCAATGAAGGGAGTTGCCATAGGTTATCAACACCACAGGGGGCAAACGCAAGCATAATATTAATTTCTATTTGTCTAACAGTCTCAGCTCGGTTTTTGTGACTTCTGGAAAGCTTTTCCCACCTCTCTGCGTAGGTTAAGTCTCTCTGTTACAAGCTTTTATAGCACCAGGTAGGTAGCACTTGCCATAATTTACACTAGATGTTTATAATTTTTAAAAAATTACATTGATATTATGTTTGATATTTGTAAGTTACCATTGCATATTTAATTATTGGATTCATGTTTGGCTCCTCTATTAGACTAAAGCTACATAAGGGCAGGGACTATTTCTGTCTTGTTTTTTGCTGTGATGAGAGAATGAATGGATTCTTGAGTGCCCAGAGCCTGGAATCCCAGAGGCAGAGGGAGAAAATCAGAGTGGTTGAGGTCAGAGGCAATTGTCTGGAATTCATGTCGCAGTGCAAGACTGGTTTTTATGGGTCAGCCAAGGCGGAGGGCATGGGTGGGGATGGGGTGAGTGGACAGAAGGCCCCAGGCATGGCACTCACGACCCTCCACGGCCTGGCTCCTTCCTGCCTGCCAGCTTCATCTCACCCCTTCTTTTTCTCCATCTCTGCATTCATCTTTATAACCCCCAATGGACTGCTTGTAGCTCACATATATTTGCTATTTCACACCCCCAGCCATTACTCACACTCTTCCCTCTCAGCCTTCTGTTCTCATCCACAGTGAATTATTGCTTATCTTTCAAAACTACACTCAGATGTCAGCTCCTCCAGGTGGCCTTTCTTAATCCCCCCAGACTTTCCCTCTTTCTTCTGCTCTACACATGACAGGGTCATTATATGTAAAGTAACAGGCTGCTCTCCAAAGGCAGGGGCTGTATTCCAGTCATCACTACGCCCCCAGCACCCAGCATAGTGCCCAATACAGAGTAAGCGCTTAACAAATGAGCAAATGAGTGATGAATGAATAGCCATCTACCCCAGATTTCCTGAAACAGTATAGATGTCATCTGGCCTGTCCCATCACCCCCTACATCTATTCATAGTTGTCACACCATGAGTCCTAGTTTTCCTCCTGAAAATTGTGGTCACTGCAGAATAGTGTACTAGTTCCCAACCTAAAGTCCTTGGACCCCCAGGGAAAGCAGTAATAAGTCTCGGAGAGCTTCTGTCGATGTCTGAAATAGCTCACAGAAATCATACTGTTATCTGCACTCAGGCTGCACAGCCTAACTAAAACATCAGGTTTCTCTGCTTTTAGCTGGGATTGTGTCGACTCGGTGGCATGCTAACAATGGTTATCTTGCGCGATGCGGGAGTGCAGATTGGCTGGGAATGACATCATAGGAGTCCCTGGGGCCGTTGGAAGAAAAAACAATAAATGGGGTCCTGGGAAGTTAAAAGGTTAGAGCCATGATGATGGGGGATGGAGCTCTGGGCTCAGAAGTAGAAGACATGAGAGCCAGGCATGGCATCAGTTGAGCGAGCCAGCCAGCTTCTCAGGAAAGTGGGAATAATCACATCTACCTCGAGGATCAAATTAGGTCAAAACATCTCCAAAATGGTGCAGCACCAAGCGAGGGACAGGTTTACGCCTAGCCTGGGAGGTCCTCAGGGGGTACACAGGCAGCGGTGGAGGGAGATGACGTGTCTGGAGAGATAAGCTATTTGCTAAGTTGGAGCGGGGTATATGGAGAGGAGAGGAGTTGGGTGGGAGTTGGGGCAGTCGGGGCAGTCAGATGGGCACCAGATGTGAAGGGGCTGTAAAGTTCATGCTAGGAAATTGAACTACATGGTCCTTTTGGTATCAAGAAATTCAAAGTTGCTATTGGCCCTCAACTAAAATGGAGGAAGGGACTAGAAGGTATGGATCCTAATGCCCCTGCCCCCATGGGTTTGAAAACGGACTCCATGCCTAGCCCACCTCCTTCAGTGTCACTGTCAGCCTGTGTCTCTGAAGGTTCCAGCCCAGCTGTGGCTTCCCGCAGGTGGAGCGCCCTTGAGTCCTGGCTGCTTGAGAGTATGCATTCCTGCTGGGCGATGCTCCCAGCAACTGGCCAGGTCACTGGGTCCAGACCTTGGCACCATGGTAATGAGGGCCAGATGGACGCTGAGCCAGACAGAAGCCTCTGTGGGCAATGGGAGCCCTTGGTGGGCACGTGACTGCGTTCCGGCTGAACCCCAGAACAGGGCCAAGGTAATATTATACTTGAGGGCTGCCACCTCTGCCACCACCCCCACCGCCTCCCAAGCTTCTCCTGAAAAGCCTCCACTCCTCAAGATCAAGGGAAAATGCTCCCTTCATGGGGAATCTCTGCCCTCCCCAAGTCCCAGCTTGGAATTAATTCATCGCCTCTCTGCGCTCCCATTGCAGGTGTTGCAGACACCTCTACTTCCTACTTATTTTGTTGGGCTTCACATTTTGGTGATTTCCTTTCTTGCCTGTCTCCACCAGGCTGTGTGTGAGATCACCTCTCATCTACAATTGCTCTCCTGGCCCGATGCCAAACCTGACTCCTGCGGCGGGGGCCCCAGAAACGTTACTGACCCAGGGAGAAAGTGTCTTTGATGGCCGATTCTCATGCCCAGTTCGATCCTGCCCTGGTGTTCATTTGTCTGAATTGAGTGCCCCGCTGGCCCCTTTGTGTCCTCTCAGTGTGAACAGGGATAAAGGTTGAAACAGTACCCAGAGGGCTCCTTGAGAGAGAGTTTCCATCAAAGCATCCAAAGATATCTCTGGGGAAGACACAACGTGGAGGCAGCCACAGAGAAATGAATGTCCTCTCACTAAAATTTCCAGAAAAGGAGATGATGTCAGCGCTGCCCTTAGGCCCTGTTTTGTACCTATCAGATTTTTGGAGACAGAAAGCCGTTCGAGATGGCTTCTCCCCTACTCAGCCCATCGGAGTCGCCAAATTGCTCTCTCCTCTCCACCTGGAGTCAGGGGACCCAACAGAAGCCTAGAGCGCTCCTTCAGCAGGGGGGGAGCCTGTCTGCCACCCCCTCCGTGGGTAGGGCCAGTTTCCCGCCTGCTTCTGCTGGTGACCGTGCTGCTCGTTTTTTTAGCAAACAAGGGAGTGCCTGGCAGCTGCTTTGTCTCCCTGTGGCCCCTCCAAGTCACTGCTCTGGAAAACACTTGCCTCTGTCACCAGGCTGCACCTGTAAATAAAGCAGAAGATAAAAGGGGCCTTTCTGTTTTTCAAACTGTGATAGGCACATCCCGGCAAATTACCTTCATGTTTTTTAATAGAAGTAAAAAGGTTTGGGTGGCTTGCGTTGCCTGATACAGAAGCACTTTTCTCTCATTCAAGCCGCCGCAGATGGGATAATGAACGCATTTTTATCTCCGTCTCTAAACAAAACACAAAGAACCTGGAGTTAGACAAACTTTCATTTACGGCATTTCGAGGACAGAGCTGGGAGTGGTGAAAAGCTCTTGGTGCTTGGGAACTGAAGGCGGGGGTCTTGTTCAGGCTAGAAGCATATTTGCTTCCTGTATGCGGAGACCCACTACTGTATTTCAATCTCAGTTTATTTATCTACAAAATGGGGATAAGGGACCCTATTTCCAGGTTTGTTGAGAAAAGCCCTGGCCCACCTTGGCTGCATGGAAGGCATTCAATAAACTTCGCTGAAGCGCATCCTGGCCGTTACCCGGCTGTTCATACCACTTGGCCAAATGTACCCACCAAGAAGCAGCCATTCAAGGGCCCCCTTCCCAGTGAGGAGAAGCCTGGGGTCGATCTCCAAAGCCTGCTGGACACATGCCTGTGTGTCTGGCCACGGGGGCCCCTGCCATGCCCTGCAGCCCTTCCCAGGGACATGGAAGTTGGGGTGCCTCCCTCCATCAGCCCCACCTCCAGGCTGTCACTGCGCCTCTCTCATGCTGCTGTGCGATTATTTATCCACATATTTCTCCTTCCTCAAAAACTAGGAGAGAAAAACCAGAGGGCAAGTCTCATCCCCTGTGGATGTTCTTATCCCCAGTACCCTGTGCAGTGCCTGGCACACAGTAGGTGTTCAGAGCACATTTGTGGGTGAGTGAGTGGCTCAGAGAAGCTCGATCCTCACACGCCTGGGCTGAGCAGGGAAGCAGGCTCCCAGGAAGCAGGAGGCTCCGCAGCCCAGAGCAGTGCTGGGCCCACCCCTCACCCGGGCTCCCCACCTTCCGTGTGGCTGGACTGGGCCGGGCCTGTGCCCGTGTGTTCCCAACAAACCTGGAAATAGGGCCCATACCGATATTTTGTAGATAAAAATAAGTTTGTGAAACTGGTTTTGTAACCCTTGGCTCCTCATCCACCTCAGGGGTATAAAATTACCACATGAGAGGCTCAAGAGGCCTGGAGGCTCCCTCTGCAGTGAGCTGTCTGTGGATAGAGGGGACTGCCTCCCACCTCCTAACCATGAGGGAACCTCAAGAGAGCTTGGCTGAGGCCTGAGAAAGTTTAAAGGAGAACTAGACTGCCCGAGAAGGCAGGGCAGAGAGGGCGGGGGCCCCACAGGCTTCTCTCCCGGAGTTTGGCGGGGCAGGGAGGGAGTCTGTGTCCTGCTGGCTGGGGTGGATCTCCCAGAGGGATGCCAGGAACTCTGAAGGCCTCATGCCAAGGCCAGAGGCAGGGGCATGCCCTCTTCTTCAAGGCTGGAGAAGGTGGATATTCCTCAGCAGCCTTGCTCACATCAAGGGAGGTACAGGTGAGAGAACCCACACAAGCCCAGGGCAAGAGATAGACTTGGCATGTGGAATCTGCCAGGCCCAGAGGGCACAGGTGCCCTACCACCATCCTACAAGTCAAGGAACACCTGCCCTGGCCTGTATTTCTCTCCCGGCCCCACCCTGTCTGACCTGAGGGAGGGGGCAACGAGTCCTCCCCCTCCTCAAGGTTCCAACTTGAGCCAGCCCAGGCTGGGGGGAGGCGGTTTCAAATAGGATAGGATGGAGGCTTTTGCTAGAAGACTGGCTTGGGTCTTTTTTTTTTTTTCCCCCCTGTTTTAAATCTGACAGTAACCCCCAAAGCTATGAGGTCCTCCAGTGATCAGGAAGGAATGTGCTGGAAGGGGCTATGGCAAAAGAATGCACTTACATCCTGTTTGTGCCCAATCGAGTCCAGCGCTGCCAGTGGACGGATTCTATTTGGATTGGAGCTGTGTGCCCCTGGGAGCCTCAGCAACTCCTGAAGACGTGTGCTAAGGCTTTCGGTCCTCAAGCCGCTGTTCCTCATCTGGCCTAACTCTGAGTTTGGAGAGAGAGGAAAGAGGGCCTTCTGAATTCATCCTAATCAAGGTGTAGCACATTTGAACTTCATTAGAAGATAAGTCAGACACCAAGAGAGTTTAGAGGGAGAGGGGCATGTCCATTTAGGCTGCTCCTTTCGTTATTCCTACCTGGAGTCACCTCCCAGCATGAAGTGGCTTTTACTAAGAGAGAGGGAAGGACTGCTGGAAGATTAGGCTTTGAGTTGCAACTTTATTATTTATTTTCTTTTAAATGTTCATTTTAAATTTTATTTTAAATGTTCATAATTGCTGGATAATCCAGAGACATGATTGCCTTTCTCTTTGCATGTGGAAAGGCCCCCAACTCATTCAAACACCAAAAGCCCTTCTCTTTAAATCAACCACAGCTTCACCCCTTAAAGTTGTTCCAGACATTGAGATCTTGCAATCTTTATTTACTGGGTTAGTTTAACTCCTTCGGGGCTGCTCCTTCCTTTAATTCTCTTCCATGATGAGGAGGCTGTAGGATAAGGGAGAAAAATAAACCGAGAGAGGGCTCCTGTGGCGGGGCTGGCTATTCGCTAAAATGGAAATGTGTTTACGGTGTGAGAAAAAAAAGATCTTGGGCAGTGAAGTTGGCAAAAAGAGATAAAGGGGATTTGGTTAGAAGCAAGAGTTAAATGATAGTAAAGGTCTAGAGAAGCCATGATCAATAAATATAAAGTTCAACCTCACTGCTTTTTGCCTCTGAGAAGGACTGAGCCCCGCCTGCCTCCCCCGCCACGGGCCTCGGGCTGCAGACTCTGCTGGAGGATTTGGCGATGAGGCCCTCAGACTCTAAGCACGAAACTCACTCTGTCCGAGAGAACTCTCGTGGAGGCAGGGAGGGGTGGACCCAGCCCTCCTGCTCCTCTTGCCGGTTGCATACAAGACGGGCACTCCGCGTGTTCTGTGGCTGCCCAACCAGCCCAGGGCCTCCAATGGGGGCACCGTCCAGGAAATCCTAAGTACTTACATTGGACACCCCATTTTCAAGACAGAATGATCTCAAGAAGAAACCTGCTTATTATCACTATAGAATGTAGGACAAATCATGTGCTTTGCGAACAACAAGTACATACTTTGAAGAAAAAAGAGTGAGAGATTCTCAGAAATGATCTTCAGCTCAACGAAGGACAGATGCCCACTCATTTCCTGCCACCTTAATGCAGGGTTGTGTATGCAGAGGAAACAACACTGGTCTCTGTGTAGACCATCATGGTGGGATTCTGAACCTAGGTCTATGGATGCCCCTCGGTGCCCTTCAGTAGTATCTGCAAGCAGCTTAAGAAAATTGTACACTTGCACACTTGTCTGAGGTTCACAATTTTCTTCTACTCCCAAAGAAGCTTGGGTTCCTCCAAAAAGGAGAACCACCGGCCTATTAGGTGCAATGATGTCTATGAAGATTCTCTGTTATATTTTATTTATTTATTTATTTATTTATTTATTTATTTATTTATTTTTGAGACAGAGTTTCGCTGTTGTTTTCCAGGCTGGAGTGCAATGACACAATCTCAGCTCACTGCAACCTCCACCTCCTGAGTTCAAGCGATTCTCCTGCCTCAGCCTCCCAAGTAGCTGCGATTACAGGCATGTACCACCATGCCTGGCTAATTTTTTGTATTAAGTAGAGAAGGGGTTTCACCATGTTGGTCAGGCTGGTCTTAAACTCCTGACCTCAGGTGATCCACCCACCGTGGCCTCCCAAAGTGCTGGGATTACAGGCATGAGCCACCATGCCCAGCCAATTCTCTGTTATAAATACATATATAGGCCAACAAAGTTATGACTGTTGAAAGAGTAGGAAGCAGAAGAATTTATGTTGCATTACATCTTAGAAGCTGGGGAGGATGAGCAAGGGAGGTATCTTAGTCCATTCGAGCTGCTATGATAACACCATAGACAGGGTGGCTTATAAACAACATAATTGATTTCTCACAATCTCGAGGTTGGGAAATTCACAATCAAGGCACTGGCAGATTCCGTGTCTGGTGAGGGCTCACTTCCTGGTTTATAGACAGCTGTATGCTCACTGTGCCCTCACATGGCAGAAGGGTTAAGGGAACTCTCTGGAGTCACTTTCAAATCCCATTCATGAGGATTCTTCCATCATGACCTAATCACTTCCCAAAGACCTCACCTCCTAATACTATCACCGTGGGGGTTAGGATTCTAACACAGGAATTTTAAGGGTACACAAACATTCAGTCCTTGGCAGGAGGCTTTGCATCCATCATTCATTGATGTGTGTCTAACATGTGCCATCACTGTGTTTTAGATACAGATGACAGTGTGGTGGGAGAGATGGAGATGTGACAAAATGCAGCCCCGTGGAGTAACCTCTATGACTGATGCGCTTTCACCATACAGCCGGAGACACAAGGGAAAAGACTCCATGGGGAAGGAGAGGGGGGCTCTGGAGGGCTCCACAGAGGCTATGATGCTTGGGCCAGGTCTTAAAGGATAATTAAGATGAAATCTTTGTTCTTGGGTGCAAGTTGTTGGTTTGCATGAATTTAAAAATAAATGCATGAGAATAAGAATAAATGTAGGGAAAGATTCAGGTGCCCTCTGGGCCAAAGGCAGGGGCTGGAGAAGAGGACTCAGCGATTGATCTTCTATGTCTGCAGGGTGAACCCTGGAAGCACACGCTTGTTTGCACACATGGCTGGGTGTGGGTTCTGGTACCCCTCCGAGAGCAGGAAGGGGAGGAGGACTGGAGAACAGGAGACTTTGCTCAATCTTCTCAGTCTTCCTGTGTCCCTGGGTCCAAGCAGAGAGAGAGAGAAAAGCCTGGGGCTCACAGATGATGGACATGTTTTTTGGAGGAGAACGACAGGCGAATGGCATGGAGAGCAGCAGGAGCGATTTGGGCAGATATTGCTCCCTCATCTCCCATCCACGGCTGCGTCTCGGGAGACAGGGGCCAGTGACCTGGCTGGCCAATAGACTGGCAGTGGTCAGAAGTGATTTTCATCTCCTACTATCTCTGTCTGCCCTCCAGAGGCAGGGCCTGGCCTGGAGGAGGGAGGATCTGAGTAGTTTACTCCTCCCTGAGAAGCATGTGTAAAGGCAGGCCTGGGCCCAAGGAGGAGTAGAGGCAACGTGCTGCTAACCTTCTGCTCCTTTTGGTGTGGTTCAGAAGTCATTTCCCAGGTGGCTTCTAGGAAGCTGCCAATCCCACGCTAACAAAGACAGCTCGAGGAAGGACCAGCTCAGCCCTTAGCTGGCTCAGGGCCACAGGGGAGCTGCTGGCTGCCCAGAGGCAGGGGCAGCCTTTGCTACTTGCTAACAGGTGTGTGGATGGGGACTAGGAGGACAAAGACTTAATCAAAGAGGTTAATAGGGGTCATTGTTCACCAGAGTGCACAGCTCTTGCTAGCACACATAGACATGGGAAGGCAGAGAGGAGAGGAAGGGGAGGGAACTCGTACTCAGCACTATTCCTCCTGTGAGGGAGGGGTCACTACAAGTGTTTGGAAAAGACAGGCGACCCCTGAACCTGGTGTTAGAGTAGCATTTTCAAACTTAAAAAATATATTTTAATGCCCAGTGGATCTGATGTTCATTCATTTCTCCCAGGAGACCTGCAGGAAGGTATCCTTACCAGTTAGCCCTCTTTACAGATGGAAACACCATGGCACAGAGGGGTTACTTGACCAAAGTTGCATAGCTAGCAAGAAGTGGGGGCAGAACTCAGGCTTTGAAGTCTTCTGGCCCCAAAGCCCACGTGCTTTGCAACCATACCATGCCCAGCCCTTAGGGGATTCTGGGAATCCGGAGCCTTCCTCAGGTTCCCCAGGAAGCCCTGGTGGGGAGGAACCAGAAACGTGTGCTTCCTTCATCCAAGGTGGTAGAGCACAAGGTGGGTGAGCCAGAACATACGAGCGGCATGCCCTCAGCAAGTGCACAAAGGAAAACTAAATGTTTACATGTATTTTTAACTATAGGAGGTATATATAGTTATGCTTTAAAAATACACATAGTACTGATAAAGCCTAAGCATTCCCTTTCTCGCTCCTTCCCAGCCCCCTTCCTAGTGGTGACTAGGGAATGAGTGAGGCCTCACAGACAGCTGCCTATGCATTTTACATACACATACAAATAGAAACATGTAGATCTTTTGTTTGTTTTTTATGTAAATGTTAAAATGTGGTACATATGGTTTGCAATTTGCTCTTTTCACTTAAAAATATGACTTGGAGATATTTCAATTCCACTCCCTATAGATCTGCCTCATTTTTATCTGCTAAATAGTATTCTATTATGTATGTATATGTATGCATTTGTATATACATATGTTTGTATATATCTTTAATTATTTTCCCCTCTTGGACATTTGAGTCACTACTAGAAACAATATAACGAAGAACATCTTTGTCAATGCTTTTCTGTAAACATAAAGGAGTATTTCTCTAGGATAGACGTGAAATGAAATTCCTGGCAGAATTTGTTGAGTAATGGTATATTTAATTTGAACAAATACTCTTTGCCAATTTACAGTCCCACAGTGTATCAAACTTCCCATTTCTCCATACTCCCTGGAGCCCTGATTATTAGCAATATTATAGTTTTCATACTTACTAAAAATTACATATGCTCACTGCTTATTTACGCATCCTCTTCTATGAATTACATGCTCATATTTTTTGCCTATTCCTATCATTTTGTAGAAACTCTTTCTATATCCTGGATATTGATGTATATGTGTTGTGCATGTTTCATCTGTTTCTCCTAGACTTTAAATTATTTTTCAATTGTTCTTATAGGGTTGTTTGTTTTGATTAGACAGAAACAATTTTGGCAGTCAATGTATCCATTTTTTTTATTTATGGGCTTTTTGTGTGTGTGTGTGTCCTCCTTAAGAAGGTCTTCTCTATCCCAAAGTTATAAGTGTATTTTCTTCTAACATTTTTATACCTCTCTTATGTAGCTCTTCAGTCAATTTGAAATTTATTTA